CTATACGCTACAAAAATAAAACTTGTGCGTATCATCAAAATATTGTGAATTAACCCTGTGTATTCGATTAGCAAATCAGCAACTTATTTTGAAATTATAAACGGGCATTCTGTCAACCTTGCCAAACTCCACGATGACAGTTACATCATGATCATTTGCCATCACACTTTCTTGTGGAAGTATCGTGGCATTTTTTAGCCCTATAAAGCTCTCGAACCCACACGACACCAGTTTGCAGGGACAAGATGAATAGTGTTTTTAAATATTTAACTTAAATACCCACATGTGTAAAAACTAGTGGGTAACAGAAATTTGAATACCCAGATAGAATTACTGATACCCAATGATTTTAAGATGCATGCGTAAAATACCCACAACACCAAAAGCTTATCTGCAGCTCTGATCATAAGGTCTGTTGGATCAAACCTGTTAGTTTCTACTGCTGCAGTTTGCATCCCTGCAATTGTTATATTATTGGTATGTTGAAAATGGTAGTTAACCAAATTAACATTCCACCGAAAAATGTGACGTTTACTTGTGTGTTCCGCTCCATATCTTTTCACATGTCCTAGGGCCGACAGGAAAGCCTTGCCTAAACCTGTAGGGGTCAATGCTGGGAAAGTGATGCACAGGTCAGTTTATAGGACAAGCATGAGACACTGCCAACCTATTTTGACCCGACAATATTACCCTACAGTGACGTCATCCCATTGTCACTTGAAGCTTATAAATCTTCAAAATCTAGTAACATCATCCCATTGTTTTTAGTACATGTAGTAGGGACGTTCTTTAGAATATCAACTTGTCACAGGGAAATTCCATAGAAACATCTAAAACAATGCCTAGCAGAACAAAAAATACAATTTAAAATTAAATGGTAAATCAACATGACTGGTGATTTTTTTTTTATCTTAAATTTCAAATTTGTACTGACCACGTTTCTTATCACCCCTTCATTTACCGGACTTCGCTGAAGGGGTAGGGTGTAATATTTTTCTGCACATAATATTCAAAATATTCTTTTTTTTTAAATACTGAATCCACTAGAGGGGGCATCATACTTGGGTGCGCACTTTACTCAACATGCTCAAGAAAATATGGTCAGTCAGAGAATAAGCATGATAAGCGTTAGCGCAGGAGCTTCCATGCAGCTAATGTTCTGCCATGGATCAATGTCTGACAAAGTTTTTCTGGAATATTGATAACCCATTCTTGCATGTGATGGAGATCATGTGACAGTAAGAACACTCAAGGCCAGCCTGTAGCAGATGGTGGTGCAAACATCCATGGACAAACAGCAACGGTTTGACGGATGCCGATTCCTCCATTATCCATACCTCCCTTCCATCACGACAAATACCCTGGACCCATTCATCCCGTAGCTACGTCAATCAAACAGCACTGTTCTTCAAGATGGGAGCACGTGGCCATCATGGCTATATCACCAGTACTTTATTTTCCTGAAGATCCGGGGTTGAACAGGTCTTCAGCAACCCATGCTTGCCTTGAAAGGCGGCAACGCTTGTCGTAAGAGGCGACTAACGGGATCGGGTGGTCAGATTTGCTGACTGGGTTGATGCATGTTATTGCATCTCAATTACGTGGATCGATGCTCATGATATCAATAACTGGATTGTCTGGTCCAGACTCGATTCTTTACAGACCTCCGTCATATAGCTGGATTCAGTGTTAAACAACAAACCAACCAAAAAACTTGATTTGCCTTGCTGTGTACCATGTAAAATACAGCTGTGACCATCTTGCAGTATAAGTGAGTGAATGGGTCTTGTTTAAAGTTGCTTTAAACATGTTAAACAGTTACCATTTGGTCATATCATGCCATGCTAGTTTGGCGTCGAAGGTAAGCATGAAGTGATACAGGTCAGATGTCCACCACTTTGGTGAACCCACAACCTCAGGCTTGGTACTGACAAACAGAAACATAATCTGGACGAACCCATCTTCCCGAGGCAAGAGAGTTTACTGTCTATAAAGGTCCAGTTTCCATCTTTGCCGAACTAGGCTGGTATTATGGAGTTACATGTTGGCTGGACTAACGAGTCTATGCATAGTCCAATCAGAATCGCGCAGATTTTGGTCGATTGCAGGACTTGCTAAGCATGTGCACCGCCAACTCGTTGTCAGCAGATATTTTCCAAATCTTTTCATGTTTTTTTATCAAGGTGCTCACGTGATTTGATGCATTTCGCGACGTAAGACCCGTTTACAGATCTTGATTATCGATCAGATCGTCCTGGCTGGGCACCACCATTTTGTGTGAAGCAAACGCAAGTGATACGAGAGGTGGAATTTGATTTGTCTATAGGAGAGGCTTAGAAGAGACATAACTGGTAATAGCCACTGGTGGCACTACGATCGAGCCAAGTAATTACAGCCTAGTTCGGCAAGTGTAGAAACTGGACTTTTAAAGTCAGTTAACTCTCTTGCCTCGGGAAGATGGGACGAACCTGGATCTTTCCCTTTATTATAGGTTTCTGGCATGCCCAAGGGATGCAACTCTGCACAGACAACTGGGCCACCAGTGTCTACTGCAGCATAAGGGCTTTCCTCGCCTACTTTAGATGAGAACACCTGTTCTTCTTGCTTTGGAAACATTAAGGTCAAGGGTCACAGATCTGCACATTCATAACAGGGGACCAAGCAACAAAATTGTTATTGTCCAAGCCTGACTGAGCAGCCTGTTTAGTTCACTGTTCGTTACAACAATGTCTGGATTTGGTCTTTCTATATGAATCGCACTGAAGTAAGAGCCTGAAGTTTACACATCAATAAACTAGCACTGAAATAAACAGCTGTTTCCATTGGATACTGTTACCAATATTAGCCAGTTAGAAATTTTAGCAGTCGGATAATTTTGGTGAAGTCTCAGTTGAGAACGTATCTTTACCAAATACCATGTTTACTTGGCATTTTATCATTGTCAAACATGTGTATGAAGATACACCTGAATATATACGACCACCGTATGCCCAATGTTAAGGTATTGGAGTTACAATCATCTTAGCTTCTGAGGGATACTGAAAGTATTATCACCCCCCGGCTTTCAAACTTCATCAGGCCTCGTCAACTTCTTTTGACACGACTCACATTGTCTTTGAACAATTATTAATGCTTCCAATTGAGCTTACTCTTTCAAACAACTTGACAATTCTTTTTCAAGCATATATATTTACACATGCTTACATTGATTCTTTTTATCACAAGTCAAGTCAATTCATACATAAACTATATATTCCAAAGCAGTTAGCTAATCGGTGTCCAAATTCAAAATCTTAAGTGAACCCAGATGACAAGTTCATAAAATGAAAGTACCATTACCAATATGGTAATCTATTGCCACTGTTTTATATATTCCATGTTTAATCAACTCAATTCATAACTGCCATCTTATCAGTCAGGGTGGCCTCTTGCCAATTCCCATAACTCAGTGTAGAAATTCAGTTTGGCCTGTTTTTACATTTTTCCCCCTTTTTGTTATCAAAAAAGTATTATCTTGCATGAAGAAAGACACAAATCAGCGTTAGAAATTGGCACTAGTCCCATAGCCCTTACCAAACTGCCCAATAGTTAAGGTATCCTAAGGACTAGTAGAAATTGGCCCATTTTAAGGTTTTGCTATATGTTATCATTATAAGGACTAGTGGACAAAAACTGTTAGTTTCTAACCCTGCAAATAGTAATATACATTCATTATGTTTGTATTAATGTACTTTTGAAATTTTTTTACAGTAATCTTGACTAAATTGTTTGATAGGCATTACTTAGGAGATGACGGATGACAAGATAGACACAATTTTTTTATGGATAATAAATTCTTTAAACTGGGAAAAGCGACGTTTCGGTATAGATCCTTATACCGTTGTCAAGCAAGACTGACAACTATGTCCCCCATTCAGTCTTGCTTGACAACGGTATGAGGCTCTGTACCGAAACGTCGCTTTTCCGAGTATTATCCATAAAATATTGTGTCTATCTAGTAATCTTGACTAGGGAAAATGTTAAAAAAAAATGATGCAAAACAGTAGGGTAATTTCAATTGGTAACTGCAAACTTAATGTGATGAATTTTGTAATAAAACTTATATCATTAGAATCGCAAATGTTTGAGGGACACTATAACGAGATTTTTTTCGATTATTTTCGCCAACTTCCATGCGTAACGCGGTGGCGAAAAATATCAAAAGCAGGAAAAATGTGTTGGAATTGGTGGTGCTTATTTCTTCTCTTAGGGATATGGGCGTCACTTTATTTAATATTATTTCATCATGATCAGCATGATCAGATGTCATCAGTTTGTTAAAGTTATAGAATACCAATCACGGTTCATTGCAACTGTTTTTGTAGAAAAATATGTCCCTCTGTTGTGTCAACACACTCTCCTCATGAAACAATAACATTACTACACAAGTAAGCATCTCGTCAGAACAATGTACAAAATGTAACCGACACAGATGATACTTGATATTATATTATAATAAGTTGGAAACCGTGGTTAATATTTCCACAGTTCTTAAACATCGGTGTCATAACACACATAATTGAATAACTGCATAGACATAAAACATTCTGTACTGTAAATGTTTCTTGCAAACATGCCAACTACATTGAAGGCCTACTTCCTGTCCTCACCTTGCTAACAAGCCCAATTTGAAAGTATTTGGATACCTAATGAGGAATAAATATTGCCTTACTCGCTTAGATTACCAATTGTTCTAAAGGATCATAAGTAAATTACAAGTCGTTGCCATTGCAAACATAACATTGCCACGATAACTGAAATGTATAGATTCTAAAACATCAATATTTAACGGTAACCAGCCAAAGAATAGCCGCTGTCTGTTGACTTCAAAACAAAAACAAATGGACACCTTGACATGTCATCGCGTTATTCCTGCCAAAGCAGAATTAATCTGTCACAACCTTTGAGAACAACTGCATAATGCAACAGTGATTTATAATAACATCTGAAAACTAACTCACTGGCGCTTGTGTGGTTGGGGCGACAAACGTTGATACTTGCAGTTGTAAACGGATTCAACCGATGTTGTCTGCTTACCCCCGACAAACTCTCTCGGCTCACTGCCCTCGCGGTACTTGTCAAATCCTTCGGGGCTGGAATTTGATTTAGATATCTCCAAGAGTGTTTTCCGATTATATCTGCTCATTGGGCAATATCTGACATGCGGAAATTATCCGCTTAGCACAAAATACATCATAGTGCGGTAGTGCACCATATAATAATATTCTCCAAAACCTAACAACTCAGCTGGTCGGCACATTATACTACTTGTTGTACGACGAATTACAGTTTCAGTTTGTTGTTTTGGGTGTCGGTTGGATCAGCAAATAATCACATTCCTTTCTCATATCCAAAATATGTATTGAGGGAATTGTCTCAATTTCAGTGTTATCAAGGTGTATTTATAGAAATATACACACGAGAACATAGAGAGAAGTAACTGTTATTTGTTTTCGTGTTGACCTATAATCATGTGCAAATTATATGCACCCAATCCTGGATCTGCGTATGCCCAAACAGTAATCTAAACAGCACTAAGTTAAAAAAAATTTATTTTTGTGTGTGTGTGTGTGTGTGTTTATTTTCGTACACATATTCATGATTTTTGTATACACATCGACATATTCATGATTTTCGTATACACATCAACATATTCATTATTTTCGTACACACAGCATATTCATGATGTTCGTATGCACATCGACATATTCATGATTTTCGTATACACATCGACATATTCATGATTTTCGTATACACATCGACATATTTATGATTTGTGTATACACATCGACATATTTATGATTTTTGTATACACATCGACATATTCATGATTTTCGTATACACATCAGCATATTCATGATTTTCGTATACACATCGGCATCATTATGATTTTCGTATAGATACCAACATATTCATGATGTTCGTATACACATCCACATATTCATGATGTTCGTATACACATCCACATATTCATGATGTACATATGTACAGAGGACTGTTGAACATTAAGAATTGGAAGTCAGGGGACCCTTGTCATAAATCTATACTGAAAAATATATATTTTTCCGGACTCACCAACTTGACAGAAAAACACCTGAGGACACCTTCATTTTTAACCCTTCACGATCTGGGTTAGAATTGGTATTTCGCAACCTATGCTTGTCAAAAGAGGCGACTAACGGGATCGGGAGTCAGTCTCGCTGGCTTGGCTGATGCATGTCCTCGTAACCAAACTGATGCTCATAATGTTAATCACTGGGTTGTCTGGTCCAGTCTCGATTATTTACAGATCGCTGTCACATAGCTGGAATATTGCTGAGTTCGGCGTAAAAAAAACAAAAACATAACACTGCGTTATATAGTTTGTTCATCCCCACATCATCCACAAAGCTGCGTATGTGCGTAAAATACGCAAATTTAAGCACAACAACCCTGCCTGCGTAAGAAACGCATGAAAATGTTCAAATTCAAACGGTATAATCAAGGCTCTGTGTTATTACCCAATGTATCAATGTCAACGTGTGCGCATGTCTTTCTTGACATATCGTTATTTACTGGTCGCATGAACTCAACTGCAGTTAATACAACATAAAACAGGCGCTACAACTCGCTTATTGTTGATATGCCATGTACATATGTCGTTGTGAGTTAATGCGACGTGCGGTTAAACAATTGGGGCAGCACACAAACAAATATATATTATAGAAGTCACCTATCGAATTATTAAAGAAATATGTCTACTTCACTTGTGTAAATATACCTAAAAGACAAGACATAATGGAGTTAAATTCTATTGAATGCCCAAAGAAAACTTTCAATGAATATTAACATGCGAGTAAACATGCTCAGGCTACAACATGTAGCTGGCGCACTGCTCAACATCATAATAATATCCCTCTACCAGTTACTGTTTCAAGACTTCTTATTTCAAAGAAAGCTTCAGTTTGCGATGTTGAGGAATGCTTCTGTGGCGTTCTTCCAGACCCTGGAGAATAAATGGGGCTGGGGGGATTTGATTTGATATCGAAATTAAATATTTTTTCAGCTACACAACAATATGTGTTTTTTTGTCCAAAACTATGAGCCTGAATGTTTTTTTAAAAGAAAAACACCTTGCAACAATGTAATTTTTATGGAAGGCAATTTCGGGGACAATTTATTCCGTTCTATTTTTTTTTCTGGGAAAAAATGTCAGTCTATTATTGCTTATACGCACAATGTTATACACAGCTAATTACATTCATAATCAGCATCGTTAGTAGAGTAATCAGTTCTTTATCAGTGAATAAATAAATCAGTTATCGCGTCTTTACGATGTCCTCACTGCGGTATGACATTTGATAAAATATACAGATAAATAAATGTAATATTCTTCCCAAAATATTTCACTGCGGGGCCTCAAGTGTAAAGATGTGTTGACTGGTTATATATTAAAAAAAATTACCTACTAATACGCATTTCTTAACCACAGCCACGCCCAATACGTATTTCTTAACGACAGTCACGCCCAATACGTATTTCTTAACGACAGTCACGCCCAATACGCATTTTTTAACGACAGTTACGCCCAATACGTATTTCTTAACGACAGCCACGCCCAATACGTATTTCTTAACCACAGTCACGCCCAATACGCATTTCTAAACTTCTATCACGTATAACATGCATTTAGTAACTCTATACGTTAGTCAACGTGTAAAATATAATTCACTTAGGCAATATAAGTAATTTATGCCAAAATAGTTCAGTTATTTTACAAACTCACAGATAGAGTTGTCAGATTGACTCAACATTCTTACGAAGTTCAAAAGGGCTAAAAAACATGACACTAGACTAATCATGATAGGATTAGAAGCCCATTTTTTGTTGTTTGTTTCTATCATTGTAAGTAACTGTGGGATGGCATTAAATATCACAATCTCATGCATTTGAAAGACGTTTCGCCTTCATATTTGGGTGTAACTGTTTTTTTATGTGTACACACGTAATACATGTACAAAGGTATACAATGTTTATAGTTTATTTTTTAAAACTATAACTGATTCCTGGAGTGGTATGCTGTGAAAGTAGTGGCTGCAGTTGGGAAGGAGTAGCACCGGCGTCCATGACGTACAACATGTTTGAATTATGTTAATAGTTCGCGAAACAATTTGCCTTTGTTAGTCGTTATTATTTTTTATGAAGACATATCAACAAATGTGTAGCTGGAATATTGCTGAGTGGGTCGTTTAACAACTAACAAACGCATGCCAGTCTCACGCCTTATATTTCCAATCACCATCACCATCACCATCACCATCACCATCAGTCAATACGCCAATATTCATATAAGCTGCATGGGACCGCAGAAATTAACGGATTTTCGGCATTTTTCACATTTTGTAACAAAGACAATGACTATAACACAGAACTTCACTTTCTTTAACTGTTAACTAATCAGCATGTATCTAGGGTGCGCTAATTAGAAAAAGGAAGAAGACGAACATTTTCGTTTGACAGCGATGCTCATGCTTATCTCGTACAGATTTTACGATGGTTCGTGTATTATTTTTAAAAATATATTATTTTTTTCGCATTCAGAAATAAAAACTATGTCAAAGGGATTTATATATACAAATTAGATAAAGAAAGGTCCCCTTAGAAATATTAACGATATATTCCAATGTGTGCAAAAACTTTATCAAATGGCGTTACTGGTGAAGACAACTGAACGCTAACGACTAATAATCTGTTTGTGGGAAACTAGTATAATTCGAAGCCAATCGAAACTGTATTTAGTTGCGCATTAAAATATTAAGTATAATTTCAAAGTGTTGTTTTATTTCTGTTACATTGTGGCCTATATTGTTAAAGTTGTGACGGAATTACAGGTAAATCTAAATTGAAAACAAATATTATCGATTGGAGATAGCTCTGTATGTATTTTACCCATGATTCCGTGAGAAATTCTTCAACACAAGATGGCGTTCCAGGGGGATATTTCGGATGAGGAAATGGTATTTGTGAACATATGCAGCTTGTGAAGCTTTGTTTTCTTGGGAATATAGTTAGTTGAATTGCAGGAAGTGTTACCATACAAATTTTGTCTGTTTGAGTATATTTCTTTATTTGACATCAGGAAACGTTATGAAGTTTGTGATGTTACTAATGTAAACAAAAAGTGAAATGCAACTTGTGTAAACCTTATGTCTGTCTGTTTTCATACGTCAGCGGTGTCTGCACATTTAGTGAGTTTGTTGGAGACAAATAGCATAGGATGGGTATGGGGACAAATAGCATAGGACGGGTATGGGGACATTTTCATGACTTTATCAACTTTTGGTAGGACATTCTTTGACATCACTACACAATTTTACGAAAATCTTTATCCCATTTTGGATGATAGTCAATATCCTGGAAAATAAATATTTCTGAGTGATAAATTAGACAATTTTGAAGTTATAATTATAGATACATCTTGCATATATCATTTTTGAACTTGTGTTATCGCTGTACGGCCTCAAGAACCTGTTTGATTTGAAAGTTCATCTGGCACAAAAGTGCCCTGCGGGTCCTTATGTTAATGTAGATCTACACTACCATGGAGATAATTGTCTCAAGTCGAGTTATGCTTATCATGCTTATTGTAACAGCCTTTTTCTGGGATTGCTTTTTCATAAAGAACACAACTTGCAACTTGACCTGAAACATTTACATTACATGCATGATATTATAGAAATCTTAGATGCATTGGACGCCTCCGTTGTCGACTGGTAGAGCGTCTGCCCGGAGAGAGGAAGGTCCGGGATTCGATCCCAAACCGCGTCATACAAAAAGACGTTAAAAGATGGCACTTGTTGTTACCCTGTCTGGCGCTCGGCCTTAAGTGGCTAAAACAAGGACTGGTCGGCTCGGAGTCAGTATACTGTGTCTGAGAGGGGTATTCATGTTAAACTGTGACATGGTATCTAGAATATAGCTGAGTGCGGCGTTAAACAACAAACCAACCAACCTTTAATCCATATTATCATATTCCAGGACCGTGAGGCTAAGATTCATCAAAACCAGCCATATGACGAGTCCCTGGATGTTCCGGATGCTGAGGAGATCGCCAGCACATACTCCCCGACCCCAAGGATTCCCAACCCTGCAGGTACAGTGGGAACACAGCTCTCTGGGGACATCATGTCATTGTCACTATCAGCTTACACCAACCATGGTCACAATAACCTTTACCAGGGATTAAGAAATAATACAATAGTTTCACAAACTGTCAAAATCTACTTATCCAGAGCTGATTATTCAAACTTTTATGAGCATAATATGTTTCAGTTTGTACATTTCACTGTCATCTCTCTGTGGGATTTGACCGCCTCTGTTGTCTAGTTGTAGAGCATCTGGTCTGGGGTTCGAACCTGGCCATGTCATACCAAAAGACGTTAAAAGATGGTACTTGTTGTTAACCTGTCTAGCGCTCGGCATTAAGGGGCTAAAACAAGGACTGGTCGGCTCGGAGTCGGTGTACTGTGTCTGAGAGGGGTATTCATGTTTAACTGCAGCATGGTATCTCAGTGAGCTAGCACTATAAATCGGCATCAGTCCGGACTAGTACAAGCAGCCACACACTCATACATGTGCAGGCACGTCGCTATATAAGTGCAATAATCTTGAATTCAACGTTAAACCCCATTTCTCCTCACCTCTGGGGGATTTGGACTTGAAGAACCAGTATCTTTTCTTATTCCAACATGTCCAAGTCAGAAAGATGTTAACAGCAACCTCGTCCTGTGTTTGTCCTACACCTTTGTTATCCTGGATTCATCAGTTAAACAAGGTGGATTGGGTGGTCCAGATGAGGCAGAGGATGTATACTACGTGGATGAGCGACGTCTTTGGAGAATTTATGTCACCTGTTTCCTTGTGTCCCCAAAGTACTGTGGGGGGACACAGGTGGCCCAGTCGTCTAAGGCGCCGCGATTCGCTGTGCAGAGTTGCGTCCCTTGGGCACGCCAGAAACCTATGATTGTGCGTTCGAATACCGGTTCGCCCCAATTATGTTTCTAGGTTTGTCAGCACCATACCCGTGCTTGTGGGTTTCACCGAAGTGGAAAACGTCTGAGACCTGCATCACTTCGGGCTTTCCTCCCACATTAAGCTGACACACAGTGATATAACTGGAATACTGTTAAAAGCGGCATTAAACCCAACTCACTCACTCACTCAAAGTACTGAGTGACTTTAGTACTTGTGTGACAATAGAGCCAGCAATAGTTGTTTTGTGCATGTGGGCCCATGCTAGCTGTATGACCTTGTTCATACCAACATGAGGGGCGGTCGGGTAGCCTAGTGGTTAAAGCGTTCACGCCGAAGACCCCGGTTCGATTCCCGACATGGGTACAATGTGTGAAGCCCATTTCTGGTTTCCCCCGCTGTGATATTGCTGGAATATTGCTAAAAGCAGCATAAAACCATACTGACTCACTCACTCATACCAACATGAGCAGCTCAGTGAAGACACATTCAATCACTGGTATGTCTGGTCCAAACCAAGACAGTTCCTACTGGGCATCCGATATGCATGCCAAAAACTTAAGGTTTGTGTAAAAATCAATAGAGATGAGAAATGGCCAGTTTCTAAAGTAAGAATCATATTCAGTGTCACTGTGTGTGACCTGGAAAATAGTGCAGTTGGGTTGGTGCTCATGCTATCAACCATTTGTTTGCCTGGTCCAGACCTGCTTTATAATTCTTTGTAGATCACTGTAATATTGCTGACTTGGGTTTTTTAACTAAAACCATTCACTGAAACATCACTTTGATTGCCTATTCAAAGCCAGCACTAGTCTTGTTTATATAATATATATCAAACCCAATCAGTTTGGAATAGGAAATAGTTATCAAGCTGTGTAGATGAAATGATAACTTATACTTCGAATAGTTAGTTATAATAGTTTTATGTAATTTTGTTTCCCTGTTCAGCTCGATCTAAACAAGCTCTGGGTCTCTCTGCTCCCAAATCTAATTTACAGAAGCCAGGTAACCATGGTAACATTGTATATTTTGCATCTATCTGTCAGTGCATGGTACTCACATCTCTGTCTGAGTTCACTGCTCATGTGATCTGTCTGCTCTAGTTGTCCAACTGTTCACCTTGATGTTGTTATCACGTAGACCTGTAGGCAACACTATCACATAGACACATCTATAGGCAACACTATCACATAGACACATCTGTAGGCAACACTATCACATAAACACATCTGTAGGCAACACTATCACACAGACTCACCTGTAGGCAACACTATCACATAGACCTGTAGGCAACACTATCACATAGACACACCTGTAGGCAACACTATCACACAGACACATCTGTAGGCAACACTATCACATAGACTCACCTGTAGGCAACACTATCACACACACATCTGTAGGCAACACTATCACATAGACCTGTAGGCAACACTATCACACACACATCTGTAGGCAACACTATCACACACACATCTGTAGGCAACACTATCACATAGACACATCTGTAGGCAACACTATCACATAGACACACCTGTAGGCAACACTATCACATAGACTCACCTGTAGGCAACACTATCACATAGACACATCTGTAGGCAACACTATCACATAGACACACCTGTAGGCAACACTATCACATAGACTCACCTGTAGGCAACACTATCACATAGACACATCTGTAGGCAACACTATCACACAGACACACCTGTAGGCAACACTATCACATAGACTCACCTGTAGGCAACACTATCACATAGACACATCTGTAGGCAACACTATCACACAGACACATCTGTAGGCACCACTATCACATAGACTCACCTGTAGGCAACACTGTCACACAGACTCACCTGTAGGCAACACTGTCACACAGACACACCTGTAGGCAACACTATCACACACACATCTGTAGGCAACACTATCACACAGACACATCTGTAGGCAACACTATCACATAGACCTGTAGGCAACACTATCACACACACATCTGTAGGCAATACTATCACACACACATCTGTAGGCAACACTATCACATAGACACATCTGTAGGCAACACTATCACATAGACACACCTGTAGGCAACACTATCACACACACATCTGTAGGCAACACTATCACACAGACTCACCTGTAGGCAACACTTTCACATAGACACACCTGTAGGCAACACTGTCACACAGACTCACCTGTAGGCAACACTATCACACAGACACATCTGTAGGCAACACTATCACACTGACACATCTGTAGGCAACACTATCACATAGACTTACCTGTAGGCAACACTATCATATAGACACACCTGCGGGCAACACTATCACACAGACCTGTAGACAATACTATCACATAGACACTCCAGTAGACAAGACTATCACATAGACCTGTAGGCAACACTATCACATAAACACATCTGTAGGCAACACTATCACATAAACACACCTGTAGGCAACACTATCACATAGACACATCTGTAGGCAACACTATCACACAGACATATCTGTAGGCAACACTATCACATAGACACATCTGTAGGCAACACTATCACACAGACCTGTAGACAATACTATCACATAGACACATCTACAGGCAACACTATCACATAGACACTCCTGTAGGCAACACTATCACGTAGACACACGTAGGCACCCCAGTACATAACACTGTAACACAAACTAGTCCCTTCTAACATAATGTTTAAAGTACTGGTGTAGCCTTTGCGTTTAGTGTTAACTGACCAGTAGTATATTACTTGGACATGGCATTTTAGACACTAAGCAATCAGGGCAAGAAGTTGTCCCTACAGCTCTGTGCCAAATACTTCTACTTCTATTTGTGCAAGTGTCTTTAGCTTCATGTTTCATAAACTTTAGTCTCAATGTACTGATGGAAACAAATAAGGAATAAGAGGCAACAGACATGATAGGAATGTTTCAGATTGCAGCTAACGTCAAAAGTTCAACACCAGTGAGTTCCCTTGACGACAATAACAGGGAGAAGCAGATTCCTCTAAACATGTTACAACATTACAGAAAACATACCTTGAAAGGCAAAATTCATATGGTTTTTGGGGGGCAGTCGGGTAGCCTAGTGGTTAAAGCGTTCGCTCGTCACGCCGAAGACCCGGGTTCGATTCCCGACATGGGTACAATGTGTGAAGCCCATTTCTGGTGTCCCCCGCCGTGATATTGCTGGAATATTGCTAAAAGCGGCGTAAAACCATATTCACTCACTCACTCATATGGTTTTTGGGGTGGTGGGGTAGCCTCGAGGGTAAAGTTCAATTTCCCAGATGGGTACAATGTGTGAAGACCATTTCTGGTGTCCCCCGCCGTGATATTGCTAGAATATTGCTAAAAGCGGCGTAAAACCATAGTCACTCACTCTCTAATTTTAAAGTTACACAAACATGGTGACCACAAGGACATGAAGCCATGTCAGAGTTCCTGGCGCCCAACACTGAATTGTTGTATTCAGTTCAAATTCTTCATGTCCCCACACTATGTCACTGACAGTAATGAAGGTATTCTGTGTGTCCACTACATGCTGAATAATCTGTGGATTACTTTAAGTATTGGTGCTTTTCCCTCGGTCCTCTTATCGCATTTTCATTATTGATTTCCATCAGTATCTAGTGAATGATGTAGTTTTACTCGTGTCACCATCATCAATATCTCCAGGGCTGGCATCTAGGTTAACTTACACTAATCTGGTGGCTCTTGCAATTGCAAATTATCCGCCCTTGTATTTCATCAACACTTTACCGACCAATCAAGCGTTGACCAATCTCATTAAAACCAGATCTTACTTTCCCGCTATCGCTAAACAAAGATCTAAGGGCATCCCATTACAGGTCACGTCAGAACGACCTTTCATCCAACCAATCAGAGCGGCGCTTACCAGATCATGAAAGTGACAGTCGGAATGTGTTTTCTAATCATGCAACCACGAAATATTTAACACGGGGTATTCCAAACGACAGTTACAGGTTTTTATGATTATATCCATACAATCTAGGCCATCTATAAGCCATTCCAGAATGTTCTTCCTATCAGTTTTAATTTTTTTAATCGAGAATACGTTAAATGTTTCGAATCGTATTCGCCAGTTTGAAACTAGTGTCGTAAAGCTCGAGAAAGCTGCCTTCTGATTAGCTAATGTCAATTTCTTGTCAGTCATTTCATTGGTCGGTCAAAATTCGCGAAAGGTCGTTCTGCCGTGACCCGTAATGGGATGTCCTCAGATCTTTGTTTAGCGATAGCGAGAACTAAGATCTGATTTTAATGAGATTGAACGTTGACAGAGGGGAAAGGTAAGGGAGGTAACTCCTATTACCATGATTACCCAGAAACCAAAGCCACCACCAGTTGTAAAGGACATGAAGACATCCTTTCTGGGTTTTGAGGGCTTTCTTTTGTCTGAGAGGGGGTACATGTGTGGGGTGTGGGGAGATTGGGAGTCTAGTGACGTTTCACTGTAGACAGGTACATGAAGTGTCTGAGAGGGGGTACATGTGTGGGGTGTGGGGATATGGGGAGTCTAGTGACGTTTCACTGTAGACAGGTACTTGAAGTGTCTGAGAGGGGGTACATGTGTGGGGTGTGGGGATATGGGGAGTCTAGTGACGTTTCACTGTAGACAGGTACATGAAGTGTCTGAGAGGGGGTACATGTGTGGGGATATGGGGAGTCTAGTGACGTTTCACTGTAGACAGGTACATGAAGTGTCTGAGAGGGGGTACATGCGTGGGGTGTGGGGAAATGGGGAGTCTAGTGACGTTTCACTGTAGACAGGTACATGAAGTGTCTGAGAGGGGGTACATGCGTGGGGTGTGGGGAGATGGGGAGTCTAGTGACGTTTCACTGTAGACAGGTACATGAAGTGTCTGAGAGGGGGTACATGCGTTGGGTGTGGGGAGATGGGGAGTCTAGTGACGTTTCACTGTAGACAGGTACATGAAGTGTCTGAGAGGGGGTACATGTGTGGGGTGTGGGGAGTCTAGTGTTGTTTCACTGTAGACAGGTACATGAAGTGTCTGAGAGGGGGTACATGCGTGGGGAGATGGGGAGTCTAGTGTTGTTTCACTGTAGACAGGTACATGAAGTGTCTGAGAGGGGGTACATGTGTGGGGTGTGGGGAGATGGGGAGTCTAGTGGCGTTTCACTGTAGACAGGTACATGAAGTGTCTGAGAGGGGGTACATGTGTGGGGAGATGGGGAGTCTAGTGTTGTTTCACTGTAGACAGGTACTTGAAGTGTCTGAGAGGGGGTACATGCGTTGGGTGTGGGGAGATGGGGAGTCTAGTGACGTTTCACTGTAGACAGGTACATGAAGTGTCTGAGAGGGGGTACATGCGTTGGGTGTGGGGAGATGGGGAGTCTAGTGACGTTTCACTGTAGACAGGTACTTGAAGTGTCTGAGAGGGGGTACATGCATGGGATGTGGGGAGATGGGAAGTCTAGTGACGTTTCACTGTAGACAGGTACTTGAAGTGTCTGAGAGGGGGTACATGCGTGGGGTGTGGGGAGATGGGGAGTCTAGTGACGTTTCACTGTAGACAGGTACTTGAAGTGTCTGAGAGGGGGTACATGTGTGGGGTGTGGGGAGATGGGGAGTCTAGTGACGTTTCACTATAGACAGGTACAGGCTGTGGTCACACGAGATAGGACTTTCATCTCTTTTATTCCTTTTTTTGCACAATTTTGCCTTTCTAGAAGTTTTTGGAAGAATTCAAACTGTACTTTAAAAATGTTTTTATGTTTGGTGGAGGATGTTTTTCAGTTAAATATTTTAGATGTATATTAGGACCCATGAAGATTCCGGGGTAGAATAGGTCATCAGCACCCCATGCTTGTCATAAAAGGCGACTATGCTTGTCGTAAGAGGCAACTAATGGGATCGGGTGCTCAGGCTCGCTGACTTGGTTGATGCGTGTCCATGTATCCCAATGGCGTGGATTGATGCTCATGATGTCAATCACTGGATTGTCTGGTCTGGACTCGATTATTTACAGACCGCCGTCATACAGCTGGAATATTGCTAAGTTCGGCGTTTAACAACAAGGAGGCAACTTCATGACACTCGACACAGTCATCAGAGATCTGAGATTTTACTTTTTGGAACTTGTTTATGCATCTGTGTTTCAATTTTGATAAATTTATAGTACTATATCGCAACCTGGTTTTGTCTTGTGCAACCAGCTTTTCGTGTCATTATGTCAGTTGGCCTAGTCGTCTAAGGCGCCTAGATTTGCTGTGCAGAGTTGCATCCCTTGGGCACGCCAGAAACCTATGATTGTGGGTTCGCCCCGATTATGTTTCTAGGTTTTTAGCACCATACCTGTGCTTGTGGGTTTCGCCAAAGTGGTAAACGTCTGATACCTGCGTCACTTTGGGCTTTCCTCCCACATTAAGCTGACACGCCGTGATATAACTGGAATACTGTTAGAAGCGGCGTTAAACCCACTACTCTATAGTTTTTAAAAAATGTTTTAATGCATATTTGTACGCAAGCAACTCAAAATTAATTGGGAAATGGAGATATTTTATCTGGAGCTCTGAGAGAGAAAAGCATGATAAGAGCAGTAGGAAGTCACTATTTTTAATTTTGCTTGAGAAAGTTTGACTTTTCTTTTTAGCTATTTCATCAACTGGTGTGGTAATCAGGAGAACATGCCACATGAAGATATGTTAAACCTGATGATGAATATCATCATAATACATTCTCAACACCACTATCATTAAAGTCATCGATCCCAATTGCGTGGATCGGTGCTCATGATGTCAATCACTGGATTGTCTGGTCCTGACTTGATTATTTACAGACCGCCGTCATATAGCTGGAATATTGCTGAGTGCGGCATTAAACAACCAAGCAAGCAACCAACCACTATCATTAAATTGTGCACAGCTGAAAATACAATTTCGTTTTCTTCTGAAATGCAATACAGATTGCAAATATTTCTGTAGTCTTTGACAAATAGAAGATGAATAATTGCTTTGTAAGTTATTTGTGCTACACAGTAGTTGTAGATCTGACCTCACAGTGTTGTAACATGATGACCCTCTGCTTGGTCACAACACTGCAGGAATTGACATGCAACAACTATGTTTCTACTTCTAGACAGGGGACACAGCCGAGGAGATTCCCCTCCCACCTCTAACTTGTCTGAGGACGATGATGATGATGATGATGATGAGGATGATTTTAACGAGCCTGGCAACCATCCAGGTGGTCTTCTGACCGGTGGACCTCCCAAAGTAAGTACTTGTCAAAACACGGACAGGAGGGGAGCAGAGTAGGGAGGGTTTGACGTGACCCTTTGGTTGTTGTTTGTAAACATGGGCAAGATTTATGTTGTGTTTGACATAACATGGTAAGCCTATTTCTGTTGTCTTCAGTTGAGACCAAGAGATTTAGAGTGAGTTTCACGTGAGTCATCATCTTCCGTTGTATTTAGTCAGGATAAATTTTATGTTTGACATTTCTTTTCTGTCTTGTTTTTGTTAAGACAGAGACCTACATTGCGTCTACTTGACTCACCTGATGCTTTTGTTGAAACAGAGACTTGCGTTGAGTCTACTTGATTCATCTGTTGCTTTGTTAAAACAAAGACTTAGGTTGAGTCTACCTGATTCATCTGATGCCTTTGTTAAGAGAGAGACTTACGTTGAGTGTACTTGATTCATCTGATGCCTTTGTTAAGAGAGAGACTTACGTTGAGTGTACTTGATTGATCTGATGCCTTTGTTGAGAGAGAGACTTACGTTGAGTGTACTTGATTCATCTGATGCCTTTGTTAAGAGAGAGACTTACGTTGAGTGTACTTGATTCAACTGTTGCCTTTGTTGAGAGAGAGACTTACGTTGAGTGTACTTGATTCATCTGATGCCTTTGTTAAGAGAGAGACTTACGTTGAGTGTACTTGATTCATCTGTTGCCTTTGTTGAGAGAGAGACTTACGTTGAGTCTACCTGATTCATCTGTTGCCTTTGTTGAGAGAGAGACTTACATTGAGTCTACCTGATTCAACTGTTGCCTTTGTTAAGAGAGAGACTTACGTTGAGTGTACTTGATTCATCTGTTGCCTTTGTTAAGAGAGAGACTTACGTTGAGTGTACTTGATTCAACTGTTGCCTTTGTTGAGAGAGAGACTTTCATTGAATCTACTTGACACATCTTGTTGCCTTTGTTAAGAGAGAGACGTAAGTTTAGTCTCCTTTATTAGAGAGAGACTTACTTTGAGTCTACTTTATTTGAGAGAGACTTACATTGAGTCTACTTTATCAAACACAGCCCAAGCCGCTGAATGGTCGACCTCCTCCTCCTCAACAGTTCGGGGGGCCAGGAGGTGGACAACAGAAACAGTTCAACTCTGAGGAGGACGATGATGATGATGACGAGGATGAAGAAGGATCATCTGGGGAGGACGATGAAGAAGAGGGCCATCCTCCAGTTGAGGGGTGAGTTCTGCAGCATGTTATTGTGTATCACATGGACAGTCGGGGATTACAGCTGGTCATTAATCCGTGAGCCTCGGAAAAAGTTTGAGAAATATAGTCATTTTGTTCCTTTCTAAATTATAGTAAGCGAGTAGATGTTAGATTCTCAAGTACAGATAAACCCAGTTCAGTGTTCGATGTTATGCAGGAAAGTCTAGGGGTCCTTGTCATGACCATAACGTTCAGAGTTAGTGTCGACCCTGGATTCAAATACTACAGCCGCAGATCCCAAGGACCAAGGACACAGGACCCCATTCAACTTCAAACACTGCTGTTAGTCCAGAAGCAACACCTGCTAGACATATTCTGTTGGTACGGTGAGGTGAAATGGGGTTTAACGTAGCGTCCAAGATTATTGCACTTATATAGCGACGTGCATGTACATGTGTGTGTGTGGCTGCTTGTACTAGTCCGGACTGATGCCGATTTATAGTGCTAGCTCACTGAGATACCATGCCGCAGTTTAACATGAATACCCCACTCAGACACAGTATACTGACTCCGAGCCGACCAGTCCTTGTTTTAGCCCCGTAATGCCGAGCGCCAGACAGGGTAACAACAAGTACCATCTTTTAACGTCTTTTGGTATGATGCGGCCGGGGATTGAACCCCGGACCTTCCGCTCTCTCGGCGGACGCTCTACCACTAGACCACAGAGGCGGTCTCTGTTGGTACGGCCTACAAAGATAACATGATTCTCTATCCATGATTCCATATTCTAGAGGGGCGGTCAGGTAGCCTAGTGGTTAAAGCGTTGCTTGTCATGCCAAAGACCCAGGTTTCCCGACATGGGTACAATGAGTGAAGCCCATTTCTGGTGTCCACCGCCGTGATATTGCTGGAATATTGCTAAAAGTGGTATAAAACGATACTCACTCACTCACCATATTCTAGAAATTTGTTAATCCAGACATTTTCTCTGGGAACACTACCATCTGAATAAACAGGGTTTTATTTAGAATGAATGTTCCTGTCAACATTCAATATGCGAGACATTTTGAAGAAAATTATCCATGATAAACGATACCTTATTCGACGTAATACAAAAATGTTTGTATAGGACAAGATATATTTTTCCAGAATTTAATTGCCCATAATTAAGGGTGCATATAACACACGAGTGCATATTATACACGAATAAATAAGTCTTGTGTACATTGATTAATCGGAAGGGGTGCTAATTGGGATTGTTCACTAGCCAATATATTAACAAATATCGCCGTGGGCGCTTATTAGAGCGGGGGGCTTGTTACGTCAAATCTGTTAATTCATATTCTCGCAGCATCGGTTGACTGCCTCCGTGATCCAGTGGATTAATCGTCTGCCACGAGAGAGAGGAAAGTTGGAGGTTTGTCCCTCGACATGTCATACCAAAAGACGTTAAAAGATGGTACTTGTTGTTACCCTGCCTGGTGCTCAGCTTAAAGGGGCTTAAACAAGGACTGGTCGGCTCGGTGTCGGTATACTGTGTCTGAGTGGGGTATCCATGTTAAACTATGGCATTTCAGTGGGCTAGCACTATAAAACAGGCATTAGTCCGGACAAGTACAAGCAGACACACGCATCCACATGCATTCACATCTCTGTATAAGTGCAATAACCTTTGACATGACATTAAACCCCATGTCACCATGTCACGTCAGAATCAGATTGCAAGGTGATCTGGTCAGAAGGAAAACATCCCCAACTCTCCTTTGGTACAGAGCAGAATAGGTTCCTTAGTACCGACACCTGTCCCTTCAGACCCGTGAAGATCCCGGGAGAGAATAGGTTCCTTAGTACCGACACCTGGCCCTTCAGACCCGTGAAGATCCGGGGAGAGAATAGGTTCCTTAGTACCGACACCTGTCCCTTCAGACCCGTGAAGATCCGGGGAGAGAATAGGTTCCTTAGTACCGACACCTGGCCCTTCAGACCCGTGAAGATCCGGGGAGAGAATAGGTTTCTAAGTACCGACACCTGGCCCTTCAGACCCGTGAAGATCCGGGGAGAGAATAGGTTCCTTAGTACCGACACTTGGCCCTTCAGACCCGTGAAGATCCGGGGAGAGAATAGGTTCCTTAGTACCGACACCTGGCCCTTCAGACCCGTGAAGATCCGGGGAGAGAATAGGTTCCTTAGTACCGACACCTGGCCCTTCAGACCCGTGAAGATCCGGGGAGAGAATAGGTTCCTTAGTACCGACACTTGGCCCTTCAGACCCGTGAAGATCCGGGGAGAGAATAGGTTCCTTAGTACCGACACCTGGCCCTTCAGACCCGTGAAAATCCGGGGAGAGAATAGGTTCCTTAGTACCGACACCTGGCCCTTCAGACCCGTGAAGACCAGGGTAGAGAATAGGTTCCTTAGTACCGACACCTGGCCCTTCAGACCCGTGAAGACCAGGGTAGAGAATAGGTTCCTTAGTACCGACACCTGGCCCTTCAGACCCGTGAAGACCAGGGTAGAGAATAGGTCTTCAACAACCCATGCTTGCCGTAAAAGGTGACTGTGCTTGTTGTAAGAGGCGACTAACGGGATCGGGTGGTTGATGCATGTCATCGATCCCAATTGCGTGGATCGATGCTTATGATGTCAATCACTGGATTGTCTGGTCCAGACTCGATTATTTACAGACCGCTGTCATATAGCTGGAATATTGCTGAGTGCACGTTAAAACAAACAAACAAACAAACCTGGCCTTTCAGGTTTACAGGCAACAAATCAGTTGAACAATTGAAGCCCTCAGTGTTATGCTGAAACATATAATAGTGCTTGTTTGTCATACTGGATGGCACATGTCGATGTGTGGTCCTGTGTATAGCGCACATGTCACAAACAAGGTGAAGTAACGCAACATTGGTTGCGGAGAGGAGTTGGATGGGTGACCGGCAGCTTGACTCCTGAGAGTTTCTAGGGCTTCACACTGATACACTGGCCCGTGAAGACGCTGGGGTAGAGAATAGGTCTTCAGCAACCCATGCTTGCCGTAAAAGGCGACTCTGCTTGTCGTAAAAGGCGACTAACAGGAACGGGTAGTCAGGCTCGCTGACTTGGTTGATGCATGTCATCGATCCCAATTGCGTGGATCGAGGCTCATGATATTAATCACTGGATTTTCTGGTCCAGACTCGATTATTTACAGACCACCGTCATTTAGCTGGAATATTGCTGAGTGCGGCGTTAAACAACCAACCAACCAACCAACCAACACTGATACACTTGTTTGAAAAATGATTCTGTTTACCCAGCAATGAATGGGTACCCGGGCGAGATGGTAATATGCCTGTTGACCTTCTACCACCTCAAAGGCAGCTTTGGTTGGTATGTTCCTCAGGGAGCTGAGAATGAACATCAGTTACACACTGATCCATTGACTGGGGTTATAATAAGCTGTGCTTCAGCATGTTGTGTGGAAATACTCTGAAATATAGCACAGTACGATTAGCCTTATTTATGTTATGTTGCAGAGCATATGACCCCAACGACTACGAGAGTCTGGTGGTGAACCCTGAGATCAAGGAGCTGTTCCAGTACATCACCCGGTGAGGCTACAGCAGGTCACAGGATTAAACTGATGTCAGCCATTGTCAGCAACAGGGGTCCGGAAAATTTAAAATCCCAATCGGACATTTGCATTTAGGCCACGCCCCCTTAAAATAGCGTATTTTAGTACGACTTTTCACACACATTACAAGTTTACGTATTCATAATATGATGAATTATGAATTGTTTCAATTTAAATTGTTTAATTCACCGGACAATTAATAACAAATAATATCATTTTAATGATAATATCAGATTTACATGGAAAACATACGTTTGTTTCTGTTATAGTAACGATCTGTTAACGTAGTGAACAGTCTAATTAATATTCATGAGTTATATTCATGAGTCTGCTCAAGTGTACGCGTTGTAACATTTGGATCGAGACTATTATCCCATATTTGGTTATCACGTGACCTCACGGGAAAAGTGTTTTTTTAAACTAAAGATTTTTTTAAAAACAAGACAGATAATTTAATCACAAATACTAAAATATCGTTGATAGCAATAGTTATTTGAATACTTATTTCATCTGTACTTAATATTGACCATAAAAAAATTGGATATCGATCGTCCGAGAAAGCAAAATGGCGGTCAATCAAGATATCATATAGGACTAGCTACTGAAAAAAATAAAATCTGCAAATCCTCATTGTATGTCAACCAAGTGAAAGTCGTTAGCCACGACTTACAAAATGATCGTCCAGACTTTGAGGGTTTGGCAGATCCGCTTGACTGATCTGCATCGGTCGACTGGCTGTCGTCACGCTTTCGCTTCTTGTCTGAGGTTAAGTATCGTAGCATTGTGAGGATAATGAGGTACATAGATGATGCAAGGTATTAATGTACAGTTGTAAACACCTTTCACTCAAATTAACAAGATGTTCTCAGTAATTAATCCTCGATTAATCAGTGTCAACTCAGTTTATTGCCTATTACAGTGATTGACCGATTGGACTATCATGTAGGTACGATGTATTTACAGCAATCAAAACAAACAAAGCTTGTCAGTGTAGTTAATCTTCATTGTGTTGCAACTGCAGACAGAAACTGCTCAGTCCTAACTGTTGATCATGTCCGGTCAAAATTTAAGAATGTCCGGACAATACTTTTTAAAATGTCTGGTAAGCAATATTTTAAAACGGACATTTGAGATTCCCAATCGGACATGTCCGGCGCATATGACGGTTTCCGGACCCCTGGTCAGCAATGTAGCATTGGTCAACAATCTCATTAAAATCAGATCTTAGTTCTCGCTACCGCTAAACAAAGATCTGAGGACATCCCATTACGGGTCACGTCAGAACGACTTTTCATCCAACCAATCAGACCATCGCTTACCAGATCATGAAAGTGACAGTTAGAATGTGTTTTCTAATCATGCAACCTCGAAATATTTAACAGAGGGTATTCCGAACGACAGTTACGGGTTTTATGATAATATCCATACAATCTAGGCCATCTATAAGCCATTCCAGAATGTTGTTTTGGTCAGTTTTATCTTTTGTAATCGAGAATGCCTCAAAATATGATTCGAAGCGTAGTCGTCAGTTTGAAACTAGTGCCGTAAAGCTCGAGAAAGCTGCCAACTGATTGGCTAATGTTGATTTCTTGTCAGTCATTTCATTGGTCGGTCAATGTTCGCGAAAGGTCGTTCTGATGTGACCCGTAATGGGATGTCCTCAGATCTTTGTTTAGCGGTAGCGAGAACCTCCAGTTAATGGAAGACCAAGAGCTTCTGCAAATGATAATGCCCTGAAAAATAGCATTACCCTTATATTAATTGATGTACTGCTATGAGTGGCAGTGAAATGAGTCTATGAATGTTGTGTTTGCTAGCTACACTCCGCAGTCGATCGAGTTGGACCACAAACTGAGGCCCTTCATCCCCGACTTCATCCCTGCTGTGGGAGACATTGATGCATTTATCAAGGTCAGCTATGAGTCTTTATAGCCATACAATTTGGATACACACATGACAAGGAATATTATGGATAACAACTTTTTTAATGGCCATTCTTTGCTTTATTTGCTATGAAATAGTGCATGGGCGGATACAGAGGGGGGGTGCGGGGGTGCGCACCCCCCTTTTTATTTCGAAAAAAATCTTTATTTCTGTATAAATTACCACCAAAGACAATAAATAGATCTTAATTGTGCACCCCCCCTTTTAAAAAAAGTTGTATCCGCCCATGTAGTGTGTATATATATCAAGATGCTATTGTTACGTGATTTCCAAATAGAAACACAGAACTTACTTATGAAATCAGTATGATCAATGAATAATCGACAAATTATACTGAAGCACACAGTTTTAGGCTGTTGGTACAATCATAAAGGGCAATATAATTTGTCCCATACATGGCAGAAGCATCTCGAAACAGACGACAGCCAAACAGCTGGTGAGTATATATACCGGTATATCTTTGCTAAGAAGAGAGAACGCCATGGGGATTCCTGATTCCCTCACTCACCGTAGACAAGATGAGCGTTTTAGATAGTTATGGAATACTGGTGTTAACTTGGCTTGTCTAGTGTCTGGTTAGACAGAATGGTTAGTTTAACAAGTTATCATCCTTCTAGGGTTATATAGGTGAGCTTCTGTACCTCTTGTACTCTAGTGTGAACACATAATCTCCCCTCTAGGGTTATGTCACTGAAGGGTGGTTGGGTAGCCTAGTGGTTAAAGCGTTGTTATGTCACTGAAGGGTGGTCGGGTAGCCTAGTGGTTAAAGCGTTGTTATGTCACTGAAGGATGGTCGGGTAGCCTAGTGGTTAAAGCGTTGTTATGTCACTGAAGGGTGGTCGGGTAGCCTAGTGGTTAAAGCGTTGTTATGTCACTGAAGGGTGGTCGGGTAGCCTAGTGGTTAAAGCGTTGTTATGTCACTGAAGGGTGGTCGGGTAGCCTAGTGGTTAAAGCGTTGTTATGTCACTGAAGGGTGGTCGGGTAGCCTAGTGGTTAAAGCGTTGTTATGTCACTGAAGGGTGGTCGGGTAGTCTAGTGGTTAAAGCGTTGTTATGTCACTGAAGGGTGGTCGGGTAGCCTAGTGGTTAAAGCGTTGTTATGTCACTGAAGGGTGGTCGGGTAGCCTAGTGGTTAAAGCGTTGTTATGTCACTGAAGGGTGGTCGGGTAGCCTAGTGGTTAAAGCGTTGTTATGTCACTGAAGGGTGGTCAGGTAGCCTAGTGGTTAAAGCGTTGTTATGTCACTGAAGGGTGGTCGGGTAGCCTAGTGGTTAAAGCGTTGTTATGTCACTGAAGGGTGGTCGGGTAGCCTTTGGGTTAAAGCGTTGTTATGTCACTGAGGGGTGGTCGGGTAGTCTAGTGGTTAAAGCGTTGTTATGTCACTGAAGGGTGGTCGGGTAGCCTAGTGGTTAAAGCGTTGTTATGTCACTGAAGGGTGGTCGGGTAGCCTAGTGGTTAAAGCGTTGTTATGTCACTGAAGGGTGGTCGGGTAGTCTAGTGGTTAAAGCGTTGTTATGTCACTGAAGGATGGTCGGGTAGCCTAGTGGTTAAAGCGTTGTTATGTCACTGAAGGGTGGTCGGGTAGCCAAGTGGTTAAAGCGTTGTTATGTCACTGAAGGGTGGTCGGGTAGCCTAGTGGTTAAAGCGTTGTTATGTCACTGAAGGGTGGTCGGGTAGCCTAGTGGTTAAAGCGTTGTTATGTCACTGAAGGGTGGTCGGGTAGCCTAGTGGTTAAAGCGTTGTTATGTCACTGAAGGGTGGTCAGGTAGCCTAGTGGTTAAAGCGTTGTTATGTCACTGAAGGGTGGTCGGGTAGCCTAGTGGTTAAAGCGTTGTTATGTCACTGAAGGGTGGTCGGGTAGCCTTTGGGTTAAAGCGTTGTTATGTCACTGAGGGGTGGTCGGGTAGTCTAGTGGTTAAAGCGTTGTTATGTCACTGAAGGGTGGTCGGGTAGCCTAGTGGTTAAAGCGTTGTTATGTCACTGAAGGGTGGTCGGGTAGCCTAGTGGTTAAAGCGTTGTTATGTCACTGAAGGGTGGTCGGGTAGCCTAGTGGTTAAAGCGTTGTTATGTCACTGAAGGATGGTCGGGTAGCCTAGTGGTTAAAGCGTTGTTATGTCACTGAAGGGTGGTCGGGTAGTCTAGTGGTTAAAGTGTTGTTATGTCACTGAAGGGTGGTCGGGTAGCCAAGTGGTTAAAGCGTTGTTATGTCACTGAAGGGTGGTCGGGTAGCCTAGTGGTTAAAGCGTTGTTATGTCACTGAAGGGTGGTCGGGTAGCCTAGTGGTTAAAGCGTTGTTATGTCACTGAAGGGTGGTCGGGTAGCCTAGTGGTTAAAGCGTTAAGTTTTGGGTACAATCTTAAAGGGCAATATAATTTGTCCAATACATAGCAGTAGCAGTAAGTGACAAGTCACAATGTAAGTGCACTCATAAATGTTTAGAATTTTGTCTTGAAACATGCCTGATACCCATCCCCAAACTTCTCGGCAGCAATATATAACAGGCCCTATTATCCCCCGCCGCGCGAAAGCGCGAAGCGGGGGATATAGTATTCACGACCGTCCGTACGTCCGTCCGTACGTCCCACCTGTTTGTTGCCGCGATATCTCAAGAACTAAACACTGGATTGTCTTCATATTTGGAACTATGGTGTATATACAGACTCCGCAGACACCAGTCGGTTTTGGTGACCTTGATCCCATTTTCAAGGTCACAGCAGACAAATCTGCTTTTAGAGTTGGAAAACGGTGTTGCCGCGATATCTCAAGAACTAAACACTGGATTGTCTTCATATTTGGAACTATGGTGTATATACAGACTCCGCAGACACCAGTCGGTTTTGGTGACCTTGATCCCATTTTCAAGGTCACAGCAGACAAATCTGCTTTTAGAGTTGGAAAACGGTGTTGCCGCGATATCTCAAGAACTAAACACTGGATTGTCTTCATATTTGGAACTATAGTGTATATACAGACACCGCAGACACCAGTCGGTTTTGGTGACCTTGACCCCATTTTCAAGGTCACAGCAGGCAAATCTGCTTTTAGAGTTGGAAAACGGTGTTGCCGCGATATCTCAAGAACTAAACACTGGATTGTCTTCATATTTGGAACTATAGTGTATATACAGACTCCGCAGACACCAGTCGGTTTTGGTGACCTTGATCCCATTTTCAAGGTCACAGCAGGCAAATCTGCTTTTAGAGTTGGAAAACGGTGTTGCCGCGATATCTCAAGAACTAAACCTCTCGATTGTCTTCATATTTGGAACTATAGTGTATATACAGACACCACAGACACCAGTCGGTTTTGGTGACCTTGACCCCATTTTCAAGGTCACAGCAGGCAAATCTGCTTTTGGAGTTAGAAAACGGTGTTGCCGCGATATCTCAAGAACTAATCGCAAGATTGTCTTCATATTTGGAACTATAGTGTATATACAGACACCGCATACACCTGTCAGATTTGGTGACCTTGACCCCATTTTCAAGGTCACAGCAGGCAAATCTGTTTTTGAGTTGGAAAACGGTGTTGCCACAATATCTCAAGAACTAATCGCTGGATTGTCTTCATATTTGGTACTATGGTGTATATGGCGGGGGATATTTCGTCACTCTGTGACAAATACTTGTTATACGCTCTCTTTGCACTCACAAATTTCCAGAAATAAGTCACTGTGGAATGTCTCCAAAGAGACATGTTTTCCTTTCTTGTATTTGTAACAGTGGTGGCAGATAGGTGTTCAGTCCGCACTGAGCAAGTAGATATTGTAAAAGGCCTCATATTGCCCTTGTAACAGCCACCTTCTTAAAACTGTCACCGGACAAAACTTCTCAAATGATCAAGACTGTTATGCTTGTTTACAGCTAAGGGAGGTAACTCTCATTTACTAGCCACCAAGGCATACCTCTAACAATATGGCCTCTAGAACACTTTATAATGTACGAGATGTCGTTTGCTGGTCCAGATATTGTACAAGCATCTGTCATAGAGCTGGAATATTGCTTAGAGCAGCATTAAACTACAAACAAGCAAATAAAACATAGCCACAGCGTCAGCCTTGAGAAGACCAACTGAGAGCATACGTAGTGCACTGCATGTGTTATGTTGGCTCAGATCGCCCGGCCTGATGGCAAGCCTGACACACTGGGTCTGACGGTGCTTGATGAGCCCTGTGCCAAACAGTCCGACCCCACCGTGCTGGATCTGCAGCTCAGAGCCATCTCGAAACAGACGACAGCCAAACAGCTGGTGAGTATATATGTGGTTGTATGTACATGTTACAATGAGTGAGAACAGCTGAGTGATGTTTGTGGTTGTATGTACATGTTACGATGAGTGAGAACAGCTGTGATGATGTGTGTGGTTGTATGTACATGTTACGATGAGTGAGAACAGCTGTGACGATGTTTGTGGTTGTATGTACATGTTACGATGAGTGAGAACAGCTGTGACGATGTTTGTGGTTGTATGTACATGTTACGATGAGTGAGAACAGCTGTGACGATGTTTGTGGTTGTATGTACATGTTACGATGAGTGAGAACAGCTGTGACGATGTTTGTGGTTGTATGTACATGTTACGATGAGTGAGAACAGCTGTGACGATGTTTGTGGTTGTATGTACATGTTACGATGAGTGAGAACAGCTGTGACGATGTTTGGATTGTATGTACATGTTACGATGAGTGAGAACAGCTGTGACGATGTTTGTGGTTGTATGTACATGTTACGATGAGTGAGAACAGCTGTGACGATGTTTGTGGTTGTATGTACATGTTACGATGAGTGAGAACAGCTGTGACGATGTTTGTGGTTGTATGAACGTGTTACGATGAGTGAGAACAGCTGTGACGATGTTTGGATTGTATGTACATGTTACGATGAGTGAGAACAGCTGTGACGATGTTTGGATTGTATGTACGTGTTACGATGAGTGAGAACAGCTGTGACGATGTTTGTGGTTGTATTTACCTGTTAAGATGAGTGAGAACAGCTGTGACGATGTTTGTGATTGTATTTACCTGTTAAGATGAGTGAGAACAGCTGTGACGATGTTTGTGGTTGTATGTACATGTTACGATGAGTGAGAACAGCTGTGACGATGTTTGTGGTTGTATGTACATGTTACGATGAGTGAGAACAGCTGTGATGATGTTTGTGGTTGTATGAACGTGTTATTATGATTGAGAACAGCTGTGACGATGTTTGTGGTTGTATGTACATGTTACGATGAGTGAGAACAGCTGTGATGATGTTTGTGGTTGTATGAACGTGTTATTATGATTGAGAACAGCTGTGACGATGTTTGTGGTTGTATGTACATGTTACGATGAGTGAGAACAGCTGTGATGATGTTTTTGGTTGTATGTACATGTTACGATGAGTGAGAACAGCTGTGACGATGTTTTTGGTTGTATGTACATGTTACGATGAGTGAGAACAGCTGTGACGATGTTTTTGGTTGTATGTACATGTTACGATGAGTGAGAACAGCTGTGACAATGTTTGTGGTTGTATGTACATGTTACGATGAGTGAGAACAGCTGTGACGATGTTTGTGGTTGTATGTACGTGTTATGATGAGTGAGAACAGCTGTGACGATGTTTGGATTGTATGTACATGTTACGATGAGTGAGAACAGCTGTGATGATGTTTGTGGTTGTATGTACGTGTTATGATGAGTGAAAACAGCTGTGATGATGTGTGTGGTTGTATGTACATGTTACGATGAGTGAGAACAGCTGTGACGATGTTTGTGGTTGTATGTACATGTTATGATGAGTGAGAACAGCTGTGACGATGTTTTTGGTTGTATGTACATGTTACGATGAGTGAGAACAGCTGTGATGATGTGTGTGGTTGTATGTACATGTTACGATGAGTGAGAACAGCTGTGACGATGTTTGTGGTTGTATGTACATGTTACGATGAGTGAGAACAGCTGTGACGATGTTTGGATTGTATGTACATGTTACGATGAGTGAGAACAGCTGTGATGATGTTTGTGGTTGTATGTACGTGTTACGATGAGTGAGAACAGCTGTGACGATGTTTTGATTGTATGTACATGTTACAATGAGTGAGAACAGCTGTGACGATGTTTGTGATTGTATGTACGTGTTACGATGAGTGAGAACAGCTGTGACGATGTTTGTGATTGTATGTACGTGTTACGATGAGTGAGAACAGCTGTGACGATGTTTGTGGTTGTATTTACCTGTTAAGATGAGTGAGAACAGCTGTGACGATGTTTGTGGTTGTATTTACCTGTTAAGATGAGTGAGAACAGCTGTGACGATGTTTGTGGTTGTATGTACATGTTACGATGAGTGAGAACAGCTGTGACGATGTTTGTGGTTGTATGTACATGTTACGATGAGTGAGAACAGCTGTGATGATGTTTGTGGTTGTATGAACGTGTTATTATGATTGAGAACAGCTGTGACGATGTTTGTGGTTGTATGTACATGTTACGATGAGTGAGAACAGCTGTGATGATGTTTGTGGTTGTATGAACGTGTTATTATGATTGAGAACAGCTGTGACGATGTTTGTGGTTGTATGTACATGTTACGATGAGTGAGAACAGCTGTGATGATGTTTTTGGTTGTATGTACATGGTACGATGAGTGAGAACAGCTGTGACGATGTTTTTGGTTGTATGTACATGTTACGATGAGTGAGAACAGCTGTGACGATGTTTGTGGTTGTATGTACGTGTTATGATGAGTGAGAACAGCTGTGACGATGTTTGGATTGTATGTACATGTTACGATGAGTGAGAACAGCTGTGATGATGTTTGTGGTTGTATGTACGTGTTATGATGAGTGAAAACAGCTGTGATGATCTGTGTGGTTGTATGTACATGTTACGATGAGTGAGAACAGCTGTGATGATGTTTGTGGTTGTATGTACATGTTATGATGAGTGAGAACAGCTGTGACGATGTTTTTGGTTGTATGTACATGTTACGATGAGTGAGAACAGCTGTGATGATGTGTGTGGTTGTATGTACATGTTACGATGAGTGAGAACAGCTGTGACGATGTTTGTGGTTGTATGTACATGTTACGATGAGTGAGAACAGCTGTGACGATGTTTGGATTGTATGTACATGTTACGATGAGTGAGAACAGCTGTGATGATGTTTGTGGTTGTATGTACGTGTTACGATGAGTGAGAACAGCTGTGACGATGTTTTGATTGTATGTACATGTTACGATGAGTGAGAACAGCTGTGACGATGTTTGTGATTGTATGTACGTGTTACGATGAGTGAGAACAGCTGTGACGATGTTTGTGATTGTATGTACATGTTACGATGAGTGAGAACAGCTGTGACGATGTTTGTGATTGTATGTTCGTGTTACGATGAGTGAGAACAGCTGTGACGATGTTTGTGATTGTATGTACATGTTACGATGAGTGAGAACATCTGTGACGATGTTTGTGATTGTATGAACGTGTTACGAGGAGTGAGAACAGCTGTGACGATGTTTGTGGTTGTATGAACCTTTGTACGATGATTGAGAACAGCTGTGACGATGTTTGTGGTTGTATGAACATGTTACGATGAGTGAGAGCAGTTGTGACGATGTTTGTGGTTGTATGAACGTGTTACGAGGAGTGAGAACAGCTGTGACCATGTTTGGATTGTATGTACATGTTACGATTAGTGAAAACAGCTGTGACGATGTTTGTGTCCTGCAGGTTGTGAAGAGTCTGGAGAATGCTGACCGCAACCCCAAACACATCGAGAACTGGGTGGAGAGTATCAGAGAACTACATCGGTCCAAGCCACCGCCCAACGTCCACTACTCCAAGTATGTACGAGATTCAACCTTCCACACACATAATCAAACATGATTTGAATGAAGTAGTATATTACAGGACTCGAGTGTACATGTAGCACTATATAACATGACTGTGTGTACATGTAGCAGTATATTACAGGACTGTGTGTACATGTAGCAGTATATAACATGACTGTGTGTACATGTAGCAGTATATTACAGGACTGTGTGTACATGTAGCAGTATGTTTCAGGACTGTGTGTACATGTAGCAGTATATTACAGGACTGTGTGTACATGTAGCAGTATATTACATGACTGTGTGTACATGTAGCAGTATGTTTCAGGACTGTGTGTACATGTAGCAGTATGTTTCAGGACTGTGTGTACATGTAGCAGTATGTTTCAGGACTATGTGTACATGTAGCAGTATATTACAGGACTGTGTCTACACGCAGCAGTATATTACATGACTGTGTCTACACGTAGCAGTATATTACAGGACTGTGTGTACATGCAGCAGTATATTTCATGACTGTGTGTACATGTAGCAGTATATTACATGACTGTGTCTACATGTAGCAGTATATTACAGGACTGTGTCTACATGTAGCAGTATATTAAAGGACTGTGGGTACATGTAGCAGTATATTACAGGACTGTGTGTACATGTAGCAGTATATTACATGACTGTGTCTACATGTAGCAGTATATTACAGGACTGTGTCTACATGTAGCAGTATATTACAGGACTGTGTCTACATGCAGCAGTATATTACATGACTGTGTGTACATGTAGCAGTATGTTTCAGGAACATGCCCGACATCGACACACTGATGCAGGAGTGGCCGCCTGAGTTTGAGGAGCTGCTGAAGGAGGTGAGACTCACAGAGTACAGGTGACACTGCCAGGGGATCTCATTACATCAGTCCCCCTGTGGAAATCCGGGTTAGAATTGGTCTTCAGCAATCCATGCTTGTCTCCCCCTGTGGAAATCCGGGTTAGAATTGGTCTTCAGCAACCCATGCTTGTCTCCCCCTGTGGAGATCCGGGTTAGAATTGGTCTTCAGCAACCCATGCTTGTCTCCCCCTGTGAAGATCCAGGTTAGAATTGGTCTTCAGCAACCCATGCTTGTCTCCCCCTGTGAAGATCCAGGTTAGAATTGGTCTTCAGCAACCCATGCTTGTCTCCCCCTGTGGAGATCCGGGTTAGAGTTGGTCTTCAGCAACCCATGTTGTCTCCCCCTGTGGAGATCCAGGTTAGAATTGGTCTTCAGCAACCCATGTTGTCTCCCCCTGTGGAGATCCGGGTTAGAGTTGGTCTTCAGGAACCCATGTTGTCTCCCCCTGTGGAGATCCGGGTTGTAGTAGGTCTTCAGGAACCCATGCTTGTCTCCCCCTGTGGAGATCCGGGTTGTAGTAGGTCTTCAGGAACCCATGCTTGTCTCCCCCTGTGGAGATCCAGGTTATAGTAGGTCTTCAGGAACCCATGCTTGTCTCCCTCTGTGGAGATCAGGGTTGTAGTAGGTCTTCAGGAACCCATGCTTGTCTCCCCCTGTGGAGATCCGGGTTAGAATTGGTCTTCAGCAATCCATGCTTGTCTCCCCCTGTGGAGATCCGGGTTAGAATTGGTTTTCAGCAACCCATGCTTGTCTCCCACTGTGAAGATCTGGGTTAGAATTGATCTTCAGCAATCCTTTGCTTGTTGTAAAAGGAGACTAACAGGAACGGATGGTCAGACTCGCTGAATAGGTTGATGCATGTCATCTTATCCCAACTGCGTAGATCGATGCTCATAATGTCAATCACCTAATTGTCTGGCCTAGACTCGATTATTTACACACCGCATCATACAGCTAGAATAATGTTGAGTGTGGCATTAAACAACAAACAAACAAAGACATAATGCATTTGTCAGTTGTTGGGATAGATTTTATGACTTGTTGCCATGGTCAGCTACTTTGGTCCAGGGCACACAACTCAGCTTCCAGGATGTTCTCATCTCTCATCCATCTTAAGAGTAACAAATCATGGTGATGACCCATTTATTGACATTCTCACCGATAACTGGCTGGAATGGCCATAAGAACAGGCGTTCACTGTACAAACATACTTGTTGCGGGATGTATCTTGGGTGGCAGAAGATGTGCCTGTGACAGGCAAGTGCGGATGGAATACAGTATTGTGTCCGGAATTGAGATTTTGTTTTTGGGAAATGGGTCATCTAAGGCGCCGCGATTCGCTGTGCAGAGTTGCGTCCCTTGGGTATGCCAGAAACTTATGATTGTGGGTTCGAATTCCAGTTCGCACCGATTATGTTTCTAGGTTTGTCAGCACCATACCCGTGCTCGTGGGTTTCACCAAAGTGGTAAATGTCTGAGACCTGCATCACTTCGGGCTTTCCTCCCACATTAAGCTGACACACCGTGTTATAACTGGAATACTGTTAAAAGTGGCGTTAAACCAAACTCACTCCTAGACTCGTTATTGTGGTCAGTCAGCCGTTAAAAGTACTGCAGTAGATGTTATTGTGATAACCTAAATTGGGAATTCTGTAGTCAAATTTGGGAATTTTGAGTGACATTTTCTCTAAGTAAGGGACCCGTGAAGATCCGGGGTAGAATAGGTCTTCAGCAACCCATGCTTGCCATAAAAGGCGACTATGCTTGTCGTAAAAGGCGACTAATGGGATTGGATGGTCAGGCTCGCTGACTTGGTTGATGCAGGTCATCGATCCCAATTGCGTGGATTGATGCTCATGATATCAATCATTGGATTGTCTGGTCCAGACTCGATTATTTACAGACCGCCGTCATATAGCTGCAATATTGCTGAGTGCGGCGTAAAACAACAAACCAACCTACTCTAAGTAAGGGCCTCTGAGAAGGCTTAGACATATCCTGTAGTATTGTTGTACATGTTGTAAAGACAGTTGTGCCGTGTGTTTCCAGGTTGGTCTCCCGACGGCGGAACTCGACTGTGACCTGGGCCAGTACGTGGAGATCGTGTGCTGTAAGTTGTTGTGTTGAGAATTGCTTTTCAAAACAGACTGATCCTCAACGTTAATTGGAAGACATTATTCTTCAGTTTTTCAATGTTCAGTTCTGTAAATCCAGATCACACTTAACAAAAACAAACACAAATACTTACACAGCCATATATTTTTCAAAAATGACTTTGGCCTCACTCTTTCCTTGTCTTTTGTCCATGTACCAAGGTGTAAACTAGTGAATACACCTTTATAAAATATCTGAAAAGATGAGATCTTGGAAGAGGGGGCAAATTTGTTTTTGTTCTATTATTTAAAATTGCATTCAATTGCTTGGTTGTTTGGACCATCTGATCGATCTTCAATTATTTCAATTGATTGGAAACCATGAAACATAACATTTTGACTAGTGGTGGGACGATACAATGATGCATCATTGGATCGCGATATTTTACTTCCCCCATGCAAGTATTGATCACAGTTGCACACTAAGTAAAAATTATCGATTCATACCTTAAATGTTTACTTTAATGACTGTTACACCAAACACTAATTAGTCGTGAAAATCAGAAGTAAAAAAGTAAATATTTTCATCCATTGTGCCATACTTGAAACTGCCAACTGTAAATCATCACTGTGCCAGGTCAAAATATGGGTTAAGCACTACAGATACGAGCACATACACGTATCGTGGTACGTATCGGATCGTGAGCAAGGAATCGGGATATGTATTGGATGGCATAGTTGTGTGTTGTCCCAGCCCTAGTTTTGACTGACTGTGATGTACTCTTACAGCCATGCTGGACATCCCTATCTACCGTAACAGCACCCACCAGAACGAGAAGATACAGGCCCTGCATGTTCTCTTCACCCTGTACTCGGAGTTCAAGAACTCACAGGTACAGACCCACACCGTCATGCCATCCTACCGGGGACACCTGCACTAAACGCATCTATCATCACTGCTCATCCTAGGTCTTCAGCAACCCATGCTTGCCGTAAAAGGCGACTATGCTTGTCGTAAAAGGCGACCAACGGGATCGGGTGTTCAGGCTTGCTGACTTGGTTGATGCATGTCATCGATCCCAATTGCGTGGATCGATGCTCATGATATCAATCACTGGATTGTCTGGTCCAGACTCGATTATTTACAGACAACCTTCATATAGCTGGAATATTGCTGAGTGTGGCGTTAAACAAAAAAAACAACCAAACCAATCATCCTAGAGCGCGGCAACGCTGCATCTTTTTCAATTATGTCGCATTAATTATTACCCACATGCGTCAGTTGGGCAAATGGTTACCATTAGGCTTAAAGAAATAAAAGAATTGGTTCTCAGACAATGACTTTTGAAAATATAGTGCGGTCTGTTGGGCCGGCAGGCGAGCAGGTGGTTTGGCCTTCTTTTTCTGTTTGTTTGTTTGTCCAAACCTGTATGAAACCAAATAAACAACCTGGAAACTCCTATTGTCACCATGACCATGCCACAAGATGTAAATGAAAGTAAATGTGTTTTATTGTTTTTAAGTGTTACGATTTTTTTAGTTTTTGAAAACGAAATGTGTGGTGTACTTTATGATGATGCGGGCAGTGCCTGAGAATTTGCCAATGTTATTTGCTGTAACTTTGCCAATGTAATTACAAGAAAGATCTTGATTATTGACTGGGTGCTGCCATGTGCAAGTGATACAAGAGGTTGAATCTGATTGTCAATAGAAGGGACATAACCTGTAATCGCCACGACGTTACGATCAAACCACGAAATTGCAGCCTAGTTCGGCAGGGTTGAAACTGGACTTTTAGTAAGCTAACTCCCTTGCCTCAGAAAGATGACCCCACCAATGATGACACCCACAGCGATCTGCCATGGCAGCCATTTTGAAATATGTCTTGTGTCCAGTTTTGTTAAAACTGTAAAAATGGTATTTGTTTAGTTTCAAATTAACTGCATCCCAAAACCTTGCTTATAAACTCAGTTATGTGATCGTGTTGGGTTTGTGTGGGGCAAAGGCTTGTCTTTAAGGTAAATTAATGTTTTTGGGGAAATAATGAGAGCTTGTTTTATTTTCAGCATTTCCGCACCCTGGCTGAGGAGAATCGCCTGGATAATTCCTTCAAGCCTGAGGACCACACAGACGACCAGGAGAGACTGATTCTATAGCATCTACCAACACACAACACAACGGGGTACAGAGGAGGGTTTTGGACCTGCTGAAACAATGTTTAACTTTGAATTACATGCCTCATGTACCAAGATTTTGGTTGGGAGGCAATTTTGTAACGTGCTGAATGTCATCAAATTCAGTTAAATTGGTACTTTCGATTTTTTTTTTAAAAATGGCTTGTTGCCATGGTGAGCCACGGATGTACCAGGGGATGCTGAAACACATTCATAGCGAAGATTAGGCCGTGAAGTGTTAACCAAATGTTTCTCATTATGGGTCCAGTAGTTTCAAACATCACATGTATATTTGTTCAGTGCAGTGTTTATTGGTTGACTTTTTCCGCCATGATATCTGGTTTTAATATCAGAATGATGAAAGTCAAGGTTGCCATGTTTTTTCAGTGAAAGAGTTATCTTCCCTTTCCTGGCCTAAAACATGCAGACATCGTTGCTGATAAGATCGAACTGTGTTCCTGCCTGATGTTTAACATGGCCTGGTAGCGTGGCTGTCATCCCTTGATGAGAAACATTTGCTGACTTCTTGTGTAATCACACGATACTGTTGTGCCTTGTATGTGTACGAGTGAAGACAGGATTGACTGTAGGACCTTGTCTCCGTTGATGGGCACAGCTTTCAGTGCCACCCTGATGTTGATGAAGTCTGCTGGACTAATACACAGACATAATAAAAAATTCTTTATTCATGGTTGAATTATCCACCTCAAAAGAAGTCATCTGACATCACACATTATGTATAGTAATATGTCATTCTTAACTTCTTTTGAGAAGTCTACCATTACAGTAACTATAGTAATATGAAAGAATCGGATTGTCCTTAACATATTTCAGTAGTATATCAATAGTATGAAATAATTGGGTTGTTCTTAACTTATTTGAGTAGAGTATTACAGTAGAACATGGATATAACGAACTACAAGGGACCAGAGAAATCAGTTCTTTATATCTGTTGTTCGTTATATATGTTTTCGCTCGGAAACGTCCGCCATCTTAGATAAAACATAACACAATACACGTTACTGCAGCATTGACTTGTATTAGCAGTGATCACTTCATAGCATTCAATTGATAACATTTTATAACATTCCTTTGATAACATTAAGTTCATAACATTTTTCGAACATTGTTATCAAATTCCTCTTACTATTGCCCGCCACGATAGTATATGACACTTGGACACAATTTCGTAAAATTTATATGTTTAATGTTTGTTTTACAGACAAGATTACATGTACAGGTAAGATTAACACAATGCAAGGTTGATCCGTCACCGCTGATTGTGTTGATTTGTGGTGCCGATTAACCGCAGATCACTGAGTGAGATTTCTCAGTTCGCTCTACACGTCACTAATTAGTGGTAAATGGGCCTTGCCGGTGATCAGATATCAGTTCACTATATCCATAGTTCGCTGTAGAGAGTGCGTCATGTACGTAAGTTTTATATGATGATATATAGGACATAAATCGGGGATTTTTTGCAGTTCGTTGTATCCGTTTTTTCACTCTATCTGTGTTTGTTATATCCGTGTTCTACTGTAGTAATATCGAAGAATCGGGTTGTCCTTGACTTCTTTTGAGTAGTATGTGTTACGAAACATAAGAAAACAAAGGAGCCAATGCCATGCAAAACTACTGTTTTTTTAGAATCGTCATTAACCTAACAATCCGGACAATAGGATCTGATTAGGTTTTTCTTGTATATATTTGTTAACGGTATGAAATCCTAGTATTGTGACTTGTTATGTACAGTGCGTTACCGTCAGTGTACTGTTTTACTTGGGCCAGAATATCATTGACTGTGATGTTAACAGACACCCAGCAGCAAGAAATCGCTGTTGTGATGTACCGCTTGTAGTGAGTGGTACTCGATGTTTGACACTGCTGACAGTAACTCCACTACTGTCGAACACCTACAAGATGACCACGCATTCAGTCATCACCAATCGGTGGGACTCTACATTCCTCAACTCACACGCCGTCATTGTTTCTACATAGCCATTGTAACAGACAAGTGTTATTCTATATCAGCCCTGATCATGTATCCTTCATCACACGGCTGTTCATCAGTACTAGAGGTTGAGGAGTCATCGTTACAAATTAAGAGGAGTTTCGTGCTTGAGGTTTGGCTCAAATATTTTAAGCTAGCAAACCACTAAGTGTTTAATATTAAGATAATTGCAAGGAATCCATCCTTAATTTCAAATCCAGATTGATATGGAATTTGATCTTGAAACATGCGCCAGATGTTGCATACTATTTATACATTGATGAAGATGAAGGAATAGTATTCTACTCAAAAGAAGTTAAGGAATGTCCAGTTCTTTTATGAAAGCATAGACTATAATGGCATGACAGATTCACTATAGTTATCTGAAAGAAGCAGTTGGCCCTTAATTTCTTTTGAGTAGTATATTCATCAGCGTTAGAAATTGGCACTAGTCCTGTAGTCCTTCCCAAACTGCCCAATGGTTAAGGTATCCTACGGACTAGTAGAAATTGGCCCGTTTTAAGGGTTTTGCTATATGTTATCATTATAAGGACTAGTGGACAAAAACTGTTAGTTTCTAACCCTGTTCATGTATGTTACAAATGTGTGGAGAACCTCCACAGAAGTCCATTCCGTCCATGTTGTTCAGAGCTGTTGTTGATGGTTATTAGTGAAGACAAGAGATCTGTGTGTGGACAGTCTTGTGAAGATCAGATCAGAGATAACACAGCTGCTCATTGTTGTGTGTGGCTCCCTACCCATGTTTAATGACAACTGTTTTACTTGTACAGATGGAAATATGTGAATAAAAATATTTATTGGAACAGTCGTGAATGTTGTTTGTACACAGGCTCACGAACACCTGGGGCTTGTTGCATGACAATTGTTATGAATACACAATGCCATTTAGAAAGTGGTCAAATGTAACAAATGTTATATTTGGGCCAACACTTTCTCAGTGAAGTACAGATTCTCATACTTTTTTTAGTTGAAATAATGTTTGGAGTCATGCGAAATGAGTCCTAACGCTCATCTCCATAATAACCACAATTTCCATTCCAATCAGTTGTACCATCAAACTCTCCTGACTAAACCATCTCCGTTAACTACCTCAGTTCGTTGGTCAATTGAACATACCGTATTCGATGTAATAAGCGCCCAGGGCACTCTCAAAATTAGAAATAGGGGGCTCTTATTAGAATATTATTTTGTTGGAAAACAAATAGAGTTGAAAGATAAATTTCGTGGTTTATGCTGACGGACTGAAATGTTTATATGCGACAGATATATTTTTTCCAGAATTTAATTGCCCATAATTAAGAATGTATATAACACACATTGCGTATTTCACGTGAATAAATAAGTCAATCAGAAGGGTGCTAATTGGGATTGTTCACTAGCCAATATATTAGCAAATATCGCCATGGGCGCTTATTAGAGTGGGCGGTTATTACGTCGAATACGGTTCTCATAATTCAAGCAACCCTAAGATGAAAACCAAATACCCTGTCAGACTGAAGAATTCCCAATCAGATCATTCCAATTCAAGCAGTAGTTCTCACAAAAATATATATTGGAGTCACGACTGATCATGTATTCAAATCTTCAATCTTTTCCTTTACTCTCTGGCACTTATACTTCCAGACCAAATCTTGGTATTTCCTCAATATTCATTAAATGCTATTTCGATCTCCCAGAGAAGTAAAATCAATAATCTTTTGACCTCACCCAGTACAATCACCCCTCTCATGTCCATTTCATATTTTAACCTAGAACCTTATAAAATTTCATAAACCACATTTTAAGTTTATATTAAAACCCTTTTTTCCAAAATACCATGGTTATACATGCCCTTCCTTTTGTAGAGCATGTCCCATGCAATTGACCAAAGACTTGATAATAGAATATACCATTAAATATATGAATTATTATGGCAAATAAATATATATATATATATATATATATACATTACTTCTAGTAATACAATATTACAATATCAATATGTAACAACTTGTGTGTGTATGCATCTGAGGACCAGAAAAAACAATGAAATTTTACAAGGTAATGTTACTAATGTTTAACCTTAGGTTCAGGTACTGTACCCTTCTACCCTTGGTCGGGGTGGTTGGGTAGCCTGGTGGTTAAAGCGTTCGCTCGTCACGCCGAAGACCTGGGTTCGATTCCCGACATGGGTACAATGTGTGAAGCCCATTTCTGGTGTCCCCCGCCGTGATATTGCTGGAATATTGCTAAAAGCGGCGTAAAACCATACTCACTAACTCACTCTACCCTTGGTCACTTTCTCTAGCTAACCACTCTTTGGTCGTGGGGATTATGTAGCTCTCTCTCAAAATCACAAGTCGGATGGTTTGCTCAAGTCCATTTATTGGTGATGGTAGTTATTGTCAATATACACACAAGGTCCTCAGTTATCTTCTTGTTGCCTGTCTTACTTAAGTACAACACATACCTAGATGATGCGTTGAAGAGCCTGATAGTTTTTCTGATGAACGTTTAACTCTACTTCTTTTCTGACCCGGGATCCCAACATACAGAGAACCTCTGTTCAGCTGTATGCTCCCGACTCCCCGCACCACTCTCGGACAACTCACTAAATACTATTCATGATAATTTTTGCTCCTTCCACCGAAATAGTATTTGACGTCATGTGAAATGAGTCCTAACGCTCACCTCCATATGAACCCCAATGTCCGTTCCAATAAGTTTTTCTATCAAGCCCTTCTTAACCAAACCTTCAGCTAATTTCCTAACTCATTGGTCAACCGTAACTCATAATAACATACTCATAATTCAACCAATTTATGACAAAAACCCAACACTCTGTCAGACTGGAAGGCGCCTAAAGGAACTTAATGATGTTAATCAGACATTCCAATCAAGCAGTAGTACTCAGAAATATTCCATCATCTCAAGACTGACAATTTGTTTCATCCATTCATTTCCCCTCTGATACTTATATTGCAAGACCAGATTCTGCTAATTTCATTGTACTAATGAAAATGTTATCTCTATCACTAAGAGAAGCAAAATCAATTATCATTTACCCTGTGGGTGATGCCCTCACCCTCTACAGTCTCTTCTCTCATATCCATCTATATTTTAAGTAAATACTAAATAAGTACCAATATACCCTGGTTATACATGTTATACTTCCTGTTGTAGAGCATGTCCCATGCGATTGACCAATGATAATAGAATATGAAATGTAAATACAATAGTACAATATCAATATGTAACAACTTGTGTGTGTATGCATCTGAGGACCAGGAAAAACAATACAATGAAATTTTACAAGGTAATGTCTCAGATAGGATCTGTCTTGGGTTGTACCTATCTGAGAATAATAACATGTGAAGGCTTATTAAGACATAATCAAATTATTATTCTTTGTAAAGTTTTCAGTTGTTTTTTTTTCGGTAGATGCAGATTGGTAAAAATAGAACATCTTCTCAACGCTTTAATTTCATATACATACATACATACATACATACATACATACATACATACATACATACATATAGACATATGAGCATTTTTCTTCAGGCAAAAATCACAATAATTTTACAACACCAACTAACAACTTATCATCAATGTCCTAATCATGTATACTTATTACTCCCAAGATTAACCAGTCCAAGTCGTCAGGGTCAATTCTAAAATGTAGACCTGAGTCTGAGGAAGCGTCACTTTTGCTGTCACTGTCACTATCAACTACATTAGGGACCACAACAGGCGGACTTGCTCTTATTGGAAAAAATCCACCTCGAATAAACTGGTCTGAATAAGGCCAGTAATGTACCATTAAATGAGAAAAATTTGGAAGGAAAGAGGCTCTCCACCATCTTGTAGAATGAGGCTGGATATGGGCAAAATGCGTGCGATTTCCATTAGTTTCACTACATTGGGGAACTGTTCCGTCAATTTAGAAGCATAGGCAGTAACTAACATCTGTCCATATGTCAACTGTCTGTAATTGTTAATGTTAAGGCTGTCTTTCTGAAGTTTTGTAATCCCTTCACAAAATGTCCTTTCAGACCGTGCTTCTGACACATCTACAATAAAAAAATAATATCATTTTAGAATTACATGGTCAGTCTTCTAATTAATATTCTTGATTTGTAGCTGTGTTTATGCACCACTCACAATGCTGCACTTCGTAGCCCTTACTTGCATAACGGTCTAATAGGCAATATCCACACCTCTTCCAGGTATTGTGGAAAAGGAAATGATCATTGTGGGCAAGTGGTGTCCACCGCAACCTAAGCTGAATGTTTAAATTACCTTCACCCCCAAATACACAAAATTTATTTACTTGATCGGTAGTATACCCAGCTCCTTGCAAGTAAGCATAGGAGAAGGGCATCAAATTTTCTCGATAGGGTGAAGCATAACATATGATTAGAGAGTCTCCTACATTAGACGGTGTCAACATGCCGACTAATCCCAACTTAACTATATCAAAGAAGCCGAAATACATCCCATATATGACCATGGTTATGGGTCGAATTTGAAATCCTCGGTACCTTCTATTTTTCATAGTGGTGGCGATTGGCAAACGGTTGTCGAAAATAGTTTCCTTTTTATCATAACTGAAGATTGCCAAAATCTCCTTATGAATATATGGAGTTATTAGTTCTGGTACCTCTAAGTAAATAAACTCCACAGTATAATGTCAACAGAACAAGGACCATTCAGCCCATGTTCTCACCTGTTCCTGCGTAATGGTGACAGTTTCACCATGATTGATGGAATTTCTGAAAGCACCAGTAACCCTATTCCTGTTCATTTTCAGTCTATAGGTAATTGATGTCAACTAAATACAATATAATTATTCACAATATTGAGATTTATAGTAAGACACAACAATGCCTTACACAGACGTCTAACTATTGGAGGTGTACCCCTGTGGTCAACGACCGGTGACTAGCCAAGCAAGTGCGTGATATGCGATAAAGTCAAAAATATGCGTAATTGTAAGCAGTATGCACTATAGAGATAATTGTAATCACAAGCGATATCACAAATTGCACTATACTTTGGGGTACGAGCTAGCCACACCAAACCCCCGTGTGAACAATCATGGCACGTTTAAGCGTATAGTCTGATTGCGGCCAAGCAGCTCTATATACATTTGCAATCAGACAAAAGGTTTGGTGCACAACTTGCCAGTTTATATGCTACTGTTCATAATTTAACAACATTTACTCTGTCAGTGACATATCAATTCAGCTTCAAATTATTGGCAGAGTCGCTTTCAATTTCCCAAACAGTGAGATGAGCTGTTGCTGAAGTCTCCTGTTCTCAAAGAGAGCATCAGTTGGGACAAGATCCAGGTCCTGAAACAGAAGACAACAATCAGGACAATGGCGCTTTGTCTTATTTCCATGACAACACTGATCACAATTGTTTAGATTGAGAATATATTTTCTGCTTTTATTTTTAACATCATAAAAGAAACTGCCAAAATGAGTATGACTTGGATCACAAATATATCATAGATGGGACTGTGGGTAGGGTACTCAAGTCTAAGTGAGTGAGTATGGTTTAACGCCGCTGTTAGCAATATTCCAGCAATATCACAGTGGGGGACAGCAGAAATGGGCTTCACACATTGTACCCATGTCGGGAATCGAACCTGGGTCATCGGCGTGACGAGCGAACGCTTTAACCACTAGGCTACCGGACCGCCCGTCAAGTCTTAATTGTAAATAACAATCAGTATATTTTACATGAATAATCTTACGATTATTTAAATTAATTGGTGATATTGTTAATATTGATTGCATTGATGAAGTAGACGGGG